TTTGCAGTGCGCCCGGGGGTGGGTGGGGCTGGCACAACAGGCCTGGGTATTGAACCCCCGGCTCCTGTGCCTGCCTGCAGGCGCTTTAATCCGCTGAGCTATTTGGCCAGCCCTCTAATTGAATATTAAAGCTGTAAGGAAGCGAGGACTTAATTGTCTCTCAAGAAGCGACATAAAGTTCTCTCGTCAGCAGCGGAGACGAGCTGGAGACTCACTGGCCGTGAGACGTCTTACTTGTCCACTTTCATAAACACGCCGCTAAGATAATAAAAGACAAGGAAACCATCTCCCGACTAGTGTTTTCAACGCGGCCGAGGAAGGGCGCACACACCAAGAACCGCAGGCGCTCACTCTCGTCCAGGGCAGCAGCTCTGGCACTGGCGGGCGTCTGGGCGTGCTTGGCCAGCAAGTCCACGTAGCCCCTCTGCTCCCTCTGCGAGAAGCGAGAGAAGCGGGGGTAAGGCACTCTGGGCTTGGGCAGCAGGATCATCCCGACTCGGGCCTTGGCGTTTTCCCTCGCGGGCGCTGCTGAACTGAGTGCCGGCTCGCTTTCTCCAGAACTTGCTGAGGCGTTCAGATTTCCCCCTACGGGGCTGGAACAAAAACACAGTTTACCAGTGTGTGGTTTTCACATGAAGATGACCATCATGACTCTCAACGCCAAGGGAGAGTACAGCGTGATTCATCGAGTAAGTTCCGGATTATCATCCAGCTCTGCACCTGCGTTCTGATGCTCCGCCACTCCGTGCAGACTCGTGTTCTGCAGGGAAGGAGCACCCTGCAGAGTTACTGTCAACTACGCGCCGCAGAGCAAGGGGCAGATGTGCTGTTCCACTTACTCAGACAGCGAGTTCCCCCTTCACTCAGGAGGGGAAAATCACTCCTGCCAACTACGTCCGTGCCTGAACCTCATGGCGCCTGTGCTTTAATGCCTAACTTCTTCAGGAGGGCATCAGGTAAATGGGAAACGGAAGCTCTAAGAACAGGAAAGGTTAAAAGCCAAGTCAATGAATTCACAGATGGAGAACGGTCTGGCCTTTGTCTGTCTCAAGAATTCAGCAGAAGACTCCAATTGTGCGCTGTACTCTCTGGAGGCCCCAGCAGCTCTGGAACAGCCGCACAACGAGCTTAGTCACCTACTTGGCTCAGGCCTGGGGAGCGGCCCTATGGCGAAGGGAAAGTCCTGGTGTAACTATAGTGACACGGTAGGAGGAAGTGGGTAAGAGTTAGAGAGCTTGTTTCCAGACTTGCTTCTGAAGTGCTACCTTCAGTCTGCAAAAAGCACCTCACCGCCTCCATGAAGGCACCGGACCACAAATGTCCTATCTTGACTGCAATCTCTACTTTTTCTCGCTAGTCAGTTACTGTTTTCTACATTTCCAATAAGAAAACTTGAAACGGCAGCATGCTGCATTTCCTGGGGCTCACAGCCCTGGCTTCTGCCGGCCACAGCACCTACCTACGATCTGGCTTCAAACAAAGCACCACTAACTCAGAGAAGGGAAAAGAACGAGGAAGAAGGACCCCTGCTGCCTTCAGCCCTCCGTCCCTTAGTACTCACGGACACCTACGCATGCAGCCCACGCGGACTACCGGGGGCACAGCAACTCTGCTCTCCAGGGCCTCGCGGTCAGGCGGGCTGGGCAAGCGGGGGAAGAAAGGCCAGCACGAGGCACGGTGTGGCCACGGTGGCCAGCGCAAGCTTTCGAACTGGATGCGCGTGCGCTGACAGAGGAGCTGCCCAGACATCTCGACTGGGGCGTAAGAGGAAGAGAAGGGAGGAGAAACACGCAGAGCGGTGACTCCTAGTCCCCTGGTCTTCCTTCTCTAGGGCACTGCGGAAGCTGTAGATTCGTCTAGGGTGTCACAAATGAGCAGAGGGGGTTAAAGGTCAGCGGTGAGAACCGCGGGCCCTGTGTGCCGTGCTGCCCTACACAACCTCAATCTCACGCGGTCGGCGGTGCGCGCTAACCCTACGCTGCATTCACTGCTACGCGGGCTGTGACTCTGCTCTGCTGCCACCTTTCTCTCTCAACAGAGCTGGGGACCCCCGACGCGCTCAGCACCCTCCCGTTGAACTCACAGGCCTCCGACCTCAGCACTGCCGCTGCCGCAGCTCCCGGCACAGGAGCCTGGTGTACTTCCGGAATCATGTCCTTTACGGCACATTCACATATTTAGGATGTATTATTTTTACATCTGTGGTAATTATTAGCTACTACATTTCAGGCTGTAAAAGAAATGTCTTTATTTTTTTTACAATTTTTTTTTTTTTTATAAAAAGTGTGAGGGTTTTCACCTGGTCAGGTTAGGAGTTACAAATTCAGATCTGTGTCAAGACAAAGGATGGGTTCAGCCCAACCCGAAATGAGCACTGGTTTGTTTCATATGAGACTAGAACAAGTATAGTAAAAACTTCACGACTCAAAAGCAGTGTGAAAAAAATATTTAGTCCACGCAAATAAAGCAAAGTACTCAAGGCAACTCACTTAGAGCTAAAATACGAATGAAAAACTAATCACAAAGCTGCTTAATGGGAAAATGACAATTAGGATGCTCAGACTGCCTCGGAAAATACAGGTAAAAGATGCATTCAGCTGCTAGAGCTTCTCCAACAACAGTATAAAAATAAGCACATTTCAGGTTAACAAAATGAATAGTAACTGCTGATCTTGGAAGAAATGTGGTACAGCAAATTGATTTCTCACTAGGAAACGTCTCGAGAGCCACTCAGACCTGACGGCACTGTGTCCACAGCTCTTCACAATACTGCTTTACAGATGTCTCCCCGAATGCGAGAACATGTCTGTCCTCGTGGCACAAACTGGCAAATTTAATTAAGCTGCTGCAGCGCCAACATGCTGACTCAGATATGCCAGAGTAGGAATGTCAGAAACTAGCGGCTTAAATTGGCTGCAGTCCGCGAAGAATGATAGGACAGCACAGCGGGATCCCTTCGCGACGCCGCGCTGTCACAATCTTCATCAGAGCAGACCAGACGCGCCTGGCAGGCTTCTCTACTCACCTTTACGGCACTGTATTTTATTTCAGCTGATAGTTTGAAGCTTCTGCCCTTAATTTTGTCAACTACCCCTTCTCCTTTATTTTACTGAGAGGTTCTATAGAGAAGGGCAGAATCCAACACCGCCAGTTTACTCTACTTCATGTCTGTGGCTTTGGCAGCCTTCTTAAAAGCAGCTCTTGGAAATGATACTGCTGGTCTCCATGTGACTTTTTGTGTATTTCCTGAATCTGATAGCTTTTTTTTTTTTTTTAATGCATTTAGTAGAGAGTCTACAGGGACTACAGGGTGTCACTATACAGATGGGACTCACAGTGATCCGCCCGTGTTCAGCCTCCCAAGCCCTGGTATTGCAGCCACCACGCCCAGTCTCAATGGCTGGTTCAGTGTGGCCCGGGGGCGGGGCCAGGGATCACACCCCAGTCGCTGCACCTGCCTAAGTCCCTTCCGTTCACTGAGCTATCTGGCCAGTCCTTTGATTTCTTTTCTATCATGATTGTGTTACAAATTCAGCTTCTTTCTACTTAGAGCTGCTTTTCCCCTAGCTGGCTTAAAACCCAGTTATAAGTGTATGCAACCAGAGTTTTTGATTTTAAATAAATTTTAAATATAAAAATGTAATTTATTTAAATAATTTTAAATAAATAGTAAAATTGTAAAAATACAATTTCAGGGACCAGGGAGACGGCTCAGTGGAATAAGCGTTTCCCTGGCAAGTGCAAGGGCCTGAGTTCAATCCCTGGTTCAGCCAAAAAAAAAAAAATTTCAGTGGTTCTTTCATAAACATATACGTAGTACAGACAGTACAAGGAAAAACTTTTTATATGAAATTAACAGTAAAGCCCTTTTGGCTGGGCATGGTGACACAGCACTCAGGCAGCTGAGGCAAGAGGGAATCACTGAGTTTGAGGCCAGCCTGAACTATGTAGTGAAACCTGTCCCCAAAAACCAAAAAGGAAACTTTTTTTGTGACAGGATAAGGAGTGAATAAAAGCTTCCTACTGTTAAAAAGCAGTGCGATGAAAGATACCAATATTTTCCAACATGTCAGAGAATATAGAAGGATTCGTTATTTTATTCCTTTGGCTGGCTCGGGGTGCCTCAAGGGCGGTTCTGGGGTAGCATGTGGAGCTGGGGATCGAGCTGCGGTCCCCTGCGCCTGACTGGTGTGCCCAAGCTGTCAGAGGATATATAAAATGAAAAAGCAGAGAAAAAAATTCACGTTCTTTCTGGTATTCCCGACATGAAAACAAGTGTCTGAAAAGCCACCCCTTACTGCAGCAATACTTAATGAAACACGGTTGGGGAAAAAAGTCTAGAAACACGTATCAATTCTTTGTGCCTGCCTTCTTCCCCAGCCCGCCCTCGCGGCGCGAGCTGTTGGCTAGCCGAGCCAGTGACAGCAAGAGGCTGGACAACATGAGAGACGGGACTGTGTACTGCCTCACAGAGCTTGCTGGTAGGAGAATTAACCCTAGAAGAGATTAAAGCAAGTTTCAAGATGGCCAAAGGAGAGCCCACAAGTGTCTCAAAGGACTTAAAGGAGCTCCAGGGGAAACTGTCCTTACTGATAAAGTCCTTTCAGAGTAACTCAAAGGTGGTTGCCTTCATGAAGTCTCCAGTGGGTCAGTGCTTGGACAGGCATCCT